AAAATGAGCAGTAATAAGATTTTTTTATTGTAACACCTGCGATTAACAGAATCAGACGAACAAATAATGATGCTCCTGTTTTGATATATTTTACACAATTTCCACATTTACACAAAAACAGGAGAATTATTTCTCTTTCAAACAAATTGTCATTCCAGCACAATACTACACCATGTCGCTTTGACGTAAGATTATGCATTTATCACGAAAATCAAATTTTGAACTCATATATATTTATTTAGCTTGTTCATGCCTAAGTAAGCCATGTTAATATGTGCATCTTTTTAAAAAAAATATTTTATTTCATCTGAAAAATGTTAGGCACAACGTGAATCTTTATGAATCGCTGAAGAAGGATAGTTTGGAACGGCGTAGAGTTAAACTCTGTTACTCTCGGAGTGAATTTTGGAACGCACCCCAGACTGATTGATGACGTCAGCTGGGGACCTGCGCGAAACAAGACGAAAACTCGTCCATGTTGCTCACACACCATGTCTTGTTCCACCATGGTTCGAAGGATCTCGTCGAGTACACATCGGCTGAAAAGGCGAAACGAGACAAAACGTGGCGGTCCTCAGTCGTTCCTATCTACAAAACACGGCTCAAGGCTACGGCCCCAAGGCGTTACCAAGTGCATTAAGTACATCAATACGTGCGTTATAGCGAAAAGGTTTAAATGAAACCACGACGTGGCTGAGGGCTACGGCCCCAAGGCGTTGCCAAGTGCGTCGATTGCATTGTGTGCGTAAGTTCGATTGGAACATTTCCGAGAACAATTGTGATGTGAGCTTCGACTATTATCTATATTGTGACTCTGTAATGCGAAACTATAATAAACGTTAATTAGAGTCATTCGGGGTAAACGCGCGCATTGGGTAAGTGTGCGAATTGTCTATATCTTAATGGGAGGGGAAGATGGAAGTTAGTTACTGTCAGCCGAGTAGTGACGCTTGCATGCCAGTTAAAATCAAACAGTAGCTGGAACTCTATGCACAGTAGTCAAATAAATATACGCATAATTATAAAACAGCACGTAACATCGATAGATTTTTGATTGCTGGAAAAGTGTGTTACGTCAAATTAAGGAAGAAAAGATAGGTGTGTACATGTTTTATACATAGTATAATAACGTAAGTTTATATTGCGTAACAATATTTAAGGTTGTATTGGCTATTATTAGTACCAAGATTTAGTTTTTAAAAACATTGACTTTGGGTCAAGTGTACGTGGACAAGTGTACGCATATCTACTTAGCTGCATCTCTAGCTGCGTAAACTAACCTCAATGGTAATAATATCAGCATAACCTCAATCACATGTGCACACTTACTCTCAAAACTGTTCTAAATGATATTGATTCCGATTTCTTATATTTTAGTTATATTTTAGTTATAATAAAAAATGTTGATTTAAATGTGATATACATTTGGTAAATATCTCTACCAAAATCTCTGGAAAAACTGTAACGTATATTATATTAAAATTAATGCTCAAAAATAGCTTAAAAAATGTTGATTGCACACTTATCCTAAGTGCGTTAATTTACCCCGCAGTAATGCGCACGTTTACCCGCAACACGGGTCAAGTGGACGCATTCGTCTCTTCGGGATAATTTTTAATCTTGCGAAAATATGAGAACAATTGGGTATAAATTGTCATTTTTTTTAAAGAAGTATAATAAATAAGCTACACAAAAAGTCATATTTTGTTCATTAAAGGCTGCACATTTTTAATCAAACGTCAAACAAAAAGTGCGGCCGTTTACCCCGAATGACTCTACAATTTATCCCTCTGTGACTTGTGTGGCAACGGTAAAGACAAAAGGAATGCTTACGCGAAACCACGGTGCAAGTGAGAAATTGCTTGCGCCGATCTTACAAAACATGTACTCACTTTTTTATTCCCACCACGCAAGTTTTTGATATTAGAGTTATTGATTATAAAATAACTCCAACTTTTTTTATCGTAGTAAAGACCCCTTCAGTTTTGGTCAAGTCAGTCTGTTCTCGTAAGCTGCTTGTAACACACTTCCGATTTTGTCAATAACAAGTTAAATTAAGTTTAGTAAGAAGATAGTGTATGAACTTTTTCAATATATATATATACTTTAGGTATGTACATTGCGGCGTTACGCGCTAGTAACAGTTACATTTAAGGCCGATATTTCATGTGTCGCGTACGACAAGACTTTTCAAGCCTGTTTATTGGCTGTAAAACAGAGAGATTCTCGGATCTCTCTGTCCTACAGCCAATCAACGTGCTTGAAAAGCCTTGTCGTACGACACATGAAATATCGGGCTAAGAGTTCTTTGCAAATCTTCCTTGCGTGTTGTATATTTACACACCTACAGACATGTCGAAAGTGATTAGAGTGATTAACACGAAAAATGTGTTGAAATAAAAAACTTGTTTTTACAGTGTATTTGAAATAGAATTATTCGTTAAATTATACAACGTGTATATTTTAATGCAATATTGGCGTATAATTTTGTAATTTTAATATTTGTTTAAGAATAATTAAAACCGCTACTTGTTGGAATAAAAAGAATTAATAAAAATACGAAGATACACGTATATCAATTAGATCTTTTTTTTTTTTTTAAAAATAATTGTATTACAATTATTTCTCAAGGTATGCAAATGTTTGACACACTTTTAAAATAAAACAATTTTGAAGTGATAAAACTCTGCGTCATTATTGCGATAGCACAAATTTGTGCGATAATGCAACTTTACTGCATCGAGGACTTCAAGTACACCGAGTGCACTTACGTATTTAAAAACATATACTATGTATTTACAGAAAGTTGCGTGAATAGTCATCAGCAGATCCTCGAAAGAAAAAAGCCGAGTATATTATAAATTAAAGTCATATTTTAAAAGTATATATTTCCATACACTAAATTCACTAAAATGCATTTTACTTATTATTAGTATGGTGTCCAATTATTATTATTACTGATTACAGCTTGTTGTCATAACAAACTTTTTAAGAGGTTTTCGGCCATAGTTTTAAATAAGACTTTCAGTATTTCAAATATAATTAGACGCCATTTAAGTAAATGTATTTTAGTAATATATTTTTTAAATATACTTTAATTCTTAATATAATATATTCGGTATATATATATATATATCTTTCTGAAAATATTCACATAAATATAATATATACCTACTATATAACTGTATAATCCGTACATAAATGAACATCACAAAATTGATAATTGCTAGTGCTCCTGTCTTACAAAAAAGTAAGCAACTTTTTTAAAACAAATTATTCATAAATTATATTATAAAAATTAAATCATTTTCCCATATGTTAAATCTATTACTAATAAGATCACTAAAGCTATAAATAAATAAAATAAAAAACTATGATAGGGTACAGAGTTCTTAATACATTATATAGATTCGTTAAGGTACAAAAAAATCCATATTCTAATAATAACAATGTAATATATAAAATTAATTGCAATGAATGTAATGTTTCTTATATTGGACAAACGAAGAGACAACTTAAAATCAGAATTAAAGAACACCGTAAGAACATAAAGTTAGATCAAACTAAACATTCAGTTGTCACAAAACAAAATTATTGACCCTAATCATAATTTTAATTGGGAAGATATGAAAATATTAGATCATTTAGATAAATTTCCGAAATAATCCACATAAAAGAACAAGTCAGTGGCATAAATCTAATAAAAGATACTGAAATATTGGACAGACATTATTTTAACATACCTGATGACATAGGAGAACTTAACATACGATATTGAACACACTTGTTAATGTCACGACTTATCAAAATATATTTTCCAACTACAATGTCAGTCTCTTGTGACACGTCTAACAATATCGATTTTATTATAACTTGACACATTTAATGAATTTGATTCACAGACTTTCTGTATAAATAAACGTAAGTGTAAAAAGTTACATTAATATTTAATATTATATAACTACAAGAAATGTTTTCAATTATACAGAATATAATAGAAGAGTTCTTTGAATGGAGTTCTTAAATGTATAAAAATTGTAACTAGGCCAGATTTTCGATAACAATCGTAAAATTTGGAAAACACGTATTTTTGTAAGTTGGACCACTATGGACATGTAATTCGATTTAATTTATACTTAAAAAAACAGACAAGGTACATACATCAATATAAAGCGATCATTATTTTATTTAACTTATATATTATTTATACTTGATGACTTTTATTAGGTTATATATTGTTATTATTTATCATCACTCAGGAAGACTTTGTAAGTCGAAACGTATAAAAATTATATTATTATACCTATATATATAGTCATTAAAATGAGATTTTATCTATATTACATAAATCAACCTTTATTATATAAGTAATTAATATATGTCTAAATAAGAATAAATGAAAATAACAGACCAAGGGCAATGAGCCAAAAATAAATAAGAAGAACATTTAATAAAATCTTTGATTACATACGTTTCGACTCCGATCGAATCATTCTCAATGTTGAGACAAGTAAATTAAAAAAAAATTCGCAATATAAATATAAAATCGTAAACACAAAGTCGAAAATAACATTTTATAAAAAACTTCTAAAACTCATAAACAAACAATTTAAAATTTCACAAAATAATATAAAACTGTAAATAATATGATGAAATTGTCGTGTAATTAAAATTCAACGTCATTGTCCAAGTTTGAAAAAGTCACTCAACTTTTATTGCTCGGTTAAAATAAGCCTTGATATTAACTATACTATCTTACAAAAATTAAATATAATGTTCTAAAAATCAAAATTTATATTTACTTCTTCTTCTTAGTAGAATTTTTGGTTCAAACATACCAAAGTATGCGGATGATAATAAAACTGTTGAGCTTTCAGTATTTACTTATTAAATAAATATAAATTCCATTTTATAAAAACGATCTTGACATAAATAAAATAAAATATTTAAAATGTAACGTAAAAAGATTAACTAAAGTCGATATTGTAATAAAATTAAAGGATACTAACATCAAAAAAATCATGTGGAACATAATATTATGCACGATCGTGAGCTTGGTGGCCGGCAAGCAGGTCACTTTTGAGAATTACAAAGTCTTCAACATTGCTGCGGATGCACCAATGCAGACTCAGTTGTTAAATCGTTTAGCACATATTTCTGATGGAGTAAGTATAGATAATTCAAGCATAAAAAAAGATTAGAGACAAATAAAAACAAATTAATATAAACAAAAACCTACATTTCTTAAGACATTTGTAACATTTTTATAACCGTATTAACTAAAATTTGGAAAATCAATCTCATAAAAATAACATAACGTATATATATTTCTAAAAATTTGTAAGATCAGCTTTATCGACATCAAATTATTTATTATATAACATTTTGAAGACATAAAAACTGACTAAGCTGTGTGTGTGTGTGTGTGGGTGTGTGTGTGTGTGTGTGTGTGTGTGTATGTAAATAACTTTACATATAACTAACTTCATATTCTGCTAAATAAAATTAAATATCATTTACAGTTTTCTTTCTGGAAGGCATCGTCTGTGAATAAACAAATGCAACTTATGGTAGCCCCATACAAGCTGTCCGAATTCTACGAAATGATGGCGCAGATCCAAGCACCATACGAAGTTTATATTGAGAATGTTCAGACATTAATCAATCGAGGAACGCCAGCGAATGTATCAATGGAATTTGATTTTAAAAATTACCATCCTCTCAAGACAATTTACAAGAATCTAGATGACATGGCAAAGCGATATCCCAATATAGTACAAACTATAGTAGGCGGCAAGACGTATGAAAAACGTGAAATCAAAGGCGTTAAGATTTCTTATAAAGCCAACAATCCTGGAGTTTTTATTGAAGGTGGCGTTCATGCCAGGGAATGGATTTCGACAGCAACTGTAATGTACATCTTCCATCAATTGCTGACAAGCAACAACACGGAGGTCAGGACTCTGGCTGAGAGCCATGATTGGTATATCTTTCCAGTGTTCAATCCCGATGGATACGTGTATACGCACACTACGGTAAGTGCTGTTTTATAATATCATGTAAAGGATTGTCAAGTAGTTTATAAATTAATGCTTAATGAATATTTTATTTTAGAACCGATTCTGGAGGAAGACACGTAAGCCATACGACAACTGTTATGGTGCTGACCCCAACAGAAACTGGAATTACAAATGGAACAGTAAATTTGTATTATTTTAGAAAACTATAATAATCGAAAATTAAATAATATCTAATAAAAAATCGAGGTTTTATTTTCAGACTTTGGAGAGCTTATATTAAAACGTGCTCGATGTTATTTAATATGTATTTATATATAATTTAACATTTTCAGCTGCAGGTTCTAGCAACGACACATGCTCCGAAACTTATGCTGGACCTGCTCCGTTCTCTGAAATTGAGACAAAAAGCATGTCCAAATATATCAATTCTATTTCCAAAAAATTTTACGCGTATATTGCGTTCCATAGCTATTCGCAACTATTGATGTTTCCTTATGGTTACACAACAGATCGTGTTGAAAACTACGATGACTTGGTGAGTAATTTTAATCGTATGTAATCATATTTTTATAAATATTTATTAAAAATAAACGAAATTTTTATTTAAAAAAAAACAGTTTTAAAGTTTAAAATTACTACTTTCACAGTAGTATAGAAATGTCATATTTTTAGCTCAAATTTATATATATTCTATAATTAAAAAATTAGCAATTACATCATTAGGTAGAGTTTCAGCTTTAATGCCCAATTTTTTCACCTGTGGATAACTTTATCCAAGAGATATCTTCCAGAATACAATGAATATATCTCCTGGATTAGTTGTCCGTAATTTATCTGGAATGGAAATGAAAAAATTGAACATATAAGAATCTGTTTTTTTAAATAGTATACGATGACTTTTATTAGAGTTATAAGCAATAAAAGAACGTTTCTTTTATTGAACTTACGAGTAACTCTTATAAAGTAAGACAGAGAATTCTTAGGAATATTTTTAAAAAACGATTTTGTAGAGAAAATTTAAAATTTTTATGTTAAATTATCAAAAATTTTTGCAAATTTTTTTGGGCATGAAACAATTCTATAAAGTAAAAAGAAAAATTACCCATTTTATACAGCTTGTAGTTTTCTATGCATAAAAATTACCAAAAACTCAAAGAAACTAAAAAAATATAGTAGCTATTCGGAAGTAAACACTTTAAATCTTAAAATCCTTTTTTAAAATTTGAATTTCGTTCATTCTTAATAAGTATATTTAATGAATATATTCTACATATCTTTTTGAGTTAAAAGATACGACATCTAACTTACAAGTTAATGCAAACGTGATTATGTATATGTATATTGAGAAGAAAATAATAATTCTTTTTATAAATTTAGCAATAATTTTAATAGTTTAACAGTAAGTATCTCAATTCTATGACAGAAGAAATTTAAAGTAGGTCATCACGATCCTATTGTTAACTAACTATTTATAAATAATAATTTAAAACATCATTACATGAATGATAGAAGATTATATATTCTAATTAATTGAGATAATTATTTATAAGAAAATATAGATCATAACAAAGTTTACATAATTTTTTAAAATTTTTCAGTATAATATTGGCATGAAAGCGATTACAGCTCTCGCAAAGAGATATGGAACTGAATACGCAGTTGGAAGTATTGCTGAGACAATATGTACGTAGAAAAAATATTTCATTTAGTTTTTCCTTTCTCTCTTTCTCTGCTTTTCTGTCTATCTATTTATTTGACTTTATATCTTGTCTACACTTAAATATTTTTATTTTTCCTAAATGGTTTATCAAAGAACCTCTCTTCTTTCTATTATATTAAAACCGTTGCGAAATTAATATAATTACTGCGCACATTCCGAGTTTATGATAATTATACACAAAAATATGATTTTTAAAACAATAAATTCATTAAATAAGCATAAAACCACGCACAGGATCTTATTTGTGATAACTTATTGTAAAGTCATTAATTTATTAATGTCAATAACATAAATCTATATAAACGTTTCGATCAGTATAATATGACCATCTTCAGTATACAGTTAAAGTATTATAAAATGAACTAATATAAAATACATCTGTTAAATATTCGCTTACATCAACAGCATAGCGCTAATATTTTTCTTGTTTCTTTCTTTTTGGCTATCTTTTTCCATCAATGTACGTTAGCTTGTGTCTTCGTGTTAATTTTTCTTCCGAATTATACAATTTTTTTGACGAAACATCGTTACCAGACTGTGTAATTAAACGTTATCTTAAAATAACAATATTGAAGAAATACTAAATTCGTTATAAATGAAAATAATTCAATTTACCTCTATATTTCGTATAAAATAATCGTCAATTCTTAAATGGAGTGTCAGTGAAAAAACGAACATTACAACGATAAAGTCCGCAATGTAATGACATGAATATTGTATAAATGTACTTGAAACCAATAAAAATAAAAATAAAAACTAAAAACTAAGAAGGAGAAGTTGCGTTAGAGTCCTGGTGTGTGTTTGTTATGATAGAGAAATACATTTCTGGTAATTTTTCCGTGTTGGGATAACACTGCAATTTTAGACATAGAACTAGTATATTTTAAAAGAACTATTTCGGAAATGATTAATATTAAAAATCAGAATCACTGTCTAAATTTGCAAAGTGACACGGAAAAATTACCAGAAATGTATTTCTCTATCATAACAAACACACACCAGGACTCTAACGCAACTTCTCCTTCTTAGTTTTTAGTTTTTATTTTTATTTTTATTGGTTTCAAGTACATTTATACAATATTCATGTCATTACATTGCGGACTTTATCGTTGTAATGTTCGATTTTTCACTGACGCTCCACTTAAGAATTGACGATTATTTTATACGAAATATAGGTAAATAGAATTATTTTCATTTATAACGAATTTAGTATTTCTTCAATATTGTTATTATAAGATAACGTTTAATTACACAGTCTGGTAACGATGTTTCGTCAAAAAAATTGTATAATTCGGAAGAAAAATTAACACAAAGACACAAGCTAACGTACATTGATGGAAAACGATAGCCAAGAAGAAAGAAACAAGAAAAATATTAGCGCTATGCTGTTGATGTAAGTGAATATTTAACAGATGTATTTTGTATTAGTTCATTTTATAATACTTTAATTGTATACCGAAGATGGTCATATTATACTGACCGAAACGTTTATATAGATTTATGTTATTGACATTAATAAATTAGTGACTTTACAATAAGTTATCACAAATAAGATCCTGTGCGTGGTTTTATGCTTATTTAATGAATTTATTGTTTTAGAATTGAACTACATTTTAAGAGTTATATATATGATTTTTAAACTTATTCATTTTATATGTAGATTTGGCTTCTGGAAATACTGTCGATTGGATAAAAGGCATGTATAACAAATCTATCATCTACATTTATGAATTACGTGATCAAGGTCAATATGGCTTTTTATTGCCTCCTGAGCAAATTATTCCAACTGGAGAAGAGACTTTAGATTCTGTCATAGCCATCCTTAAAGAAGCAACCATGCTAATAGATATGGGTATGGATTTGACAACATGTGTTTATATAATTTTTATCATGTTGATAGTGATATGTATTATACATCAACATAGTTTAAATTTAGTGTAAATATTAAACTATAACCCGAAAATAGTCACATGGGATATTTTCTACATCCCAGCGTTGCAAACATAAAGCTTACATCACAGTATTTCATGGAAATTCATATATATTATTTTACAGTTGAAGTTTCCAAGACCTAATGCGCACAACAGAAAGAGTTTATAACGCGAATTCATAGTACCAACCTACTAAAACCTGTTAAAGTGTAAAAATCACTTTGGATGGTCGTTTACGTAATATAAAAATTCAAATATGGTAACAGTGTTTATTAAACATATGGGGCATTCCACGCCAAGTGGGCTACCCATTTTGCGAAGTTCCATGGATTTCGTTCACATTGCGTGAACTTGTACAGTTTGATGAATAAAGACTCTATGCCAAATAATATACCTGTAGGCCAACTGGTTACCGAACTGTAGAACCGTCAATTTTTGGGCTTTCTCGTTGCAGCGCTCTTTTCGCTTGTCGTTAGTGGGCATGAAAGGCAATTTTGAAAATAAAGTGCAGACGTATTCTTATAGAAAATTGAACGCTCTTTCACGTAAGAATATTCTTTTTTTGATCAGACCGGTTTACGATGATGTTTTTCAGTTTTGAACTTTTCAAAATGGCGGCGCGCCTAAAAGGCCGCTCTCAATTTTCTTTTAATATAGCTCAAAATGTAGCTCCAGATCTCTACTTTGTTACTCTAAGAGGACTTAATGGCACACGCATTCGTTTGGGAGTAAGAGCTAGGAAAGTGAGGAAAATGAGTGGTGCGGCAGGGAGACGGAGCGACATTGCCTCACTTTCCTAGCTCTTACTCCTAAACGAATGCGTGTGCCATTAAGTCCTTTTAGAGTAACAAAGTAGAGACCTGGAGCTACATTTTGAGCTATATTAAAAGAAAATTGAGAGCGGCATTTTAGGCGCGCCGCCATTTTGAAGAGTTCAAAACTGAAAAACATCATCGTAAACCGGTCTGACCAAAAAAAGAATATTCTAACGTGAAAGAGCGTTCAATTTTCTATAAGAATACGTCTGCACTTTATTTTCAAAATTGCCTTTCATGCCCACTAACGACAAGCGAAAAGAGCGCTGCGACGAGAAAGCCCAAAAATTGGGTGGCCCACTTGTCATGGAATGCCCCATATATTCGAAATATAATGTGATGATATTATAAGAAAGGGTTGTGTGTACTTATAATAAAATTTATAACAAATAGAGACAGAGAGATGTTTTTAAATCTATTAAACCAATCTCTGCAAGTTGTTTCACATACAACATGCTCCCCACAAGCTTCCTAGCAAACGATAACTTTCAGTAGCAAATTTCTTGAGGTTACAACAGAAAAGTAACACTTCTCGCAAATGCTCTTTCTTTGGTACGAAACCCGACATTTCTGATGCGATAAAAAATTGTGTTTTTTGCATCCGATCAAATGTTATATACTGATTATTAAAGGCTATTGATAGTACTTTCATATACATAAACAGTTACTTCCGGCCATGCTGAAATAGCACAAATGCTCTCTCCCGGTGAACAGCGAGAATTAATTCAAGCATCAAATATTATTACAGTGTTATGCGGTCGTAGTTACATCTACACGTTTCTTGCAAATCTACACTTCCTTTCGTGTTGTATATTTACACATCTACAGACGTGTTGAAAGTAGTGACTACAGTGATTAACACGAAAAATGTGTTAAAATAACAAATTTGTTTTTACAGTATATTTTAAAAAGAATTATTCTTTAGTTAAATTATATAACGTGCATAATATTTAATTGTAATTGGCGTATTTTGTAATATTATTATTTGTTTAAGAATAATTAAAATCGCTACTTGTTAGAATAAAAAGAATTAATAAAAATACGAAAGTATATATATCACTTACATTTTATTATATTTTTTTTAAGAATAGTTGTATTACAATTATTTCTTAAGGTACGCAAATGTTTGACACACTTTTATTTTAAAATAAAACAATTTTGAAGTGATAAAATTCTACGTCATTATTACGATAGCACAAATTTGTGCGATAATGCAACTTTAGTACCGTGTGCACTTATGTATTTAAATACGTGTACTATGTATTTACAGTAAGTTCCATAAATAATCATCAGCAGTTCTCTGAAAGAAAAAAGCTGAATATACTACAAATCAAAGTCATATTTTAAAAGTGTATTTCATACTCCAAATGCACTAAAATGCATTTTACTTATTGTCAGTATGGCGTCCAATTATTATTACTATAACTGATTAACTATACCTAATCCGTACATAAATGAACATTACAAAATTGATAATTGCTAGTGCTCCTGTTTTACAAAAAGGTAAGCAATTTTTTTAAAATAAAATATTCATAAATTATATTTACAAAAATTAAATTGTTTTCCATATGTTAAATCTATTACTAATAAGATCACTATATAAATAATCTATAAATAAATCAAAATGTCGGGGGGCCAACTTCACACTACTCATAAAATATGTTTCCGGCTCAAATTCGATAGAAAGAAGTTCAGTATAAAAGCAATCGATAGAATTGCAACAGACGAGATATTTCTGTAGGAATATCTATTCCTGAAGGGTGTGTTAAATTAGCACTCCAACTATAGTACTCAGAAGTTCTGATTAGAGTTCCCACTTCCTTTTGACGAGACGAAGAGTTCCCTATAGTTAATAACAAGAGTTCCGCTCAATAAACATTTTTTTTACATTTTTTAAAAATGGGGTGCTAACTTTTTATCGAATTTCGAGGTGGAATAGTTCTGAGCGGCTTAATAGCTTCAATTTGCGATTGCCTAGAGTTCCTGATGTGTGTAAAAAAAATTTTCAAATATTAAAAAAATAGTTAAAAATTTTTGAAAAATTAATTTTTAGATACAATAGTTCCGATGATAATTCATGCTTCTTTTTGACGATACGAAGAGTTCTCTATGATTTTTAATAACATATGCGCTTAATAATCATCTTTTAATAATTTTTATAGAATGCGGTGCTAACTTTTTAACGAAATTCAAGGTCGCATAGTTCTGATCAGCTTAACAGAACTATTTTGTGAATACCTAGAGTTCTTGATACATAAAAAAACATTTTCGAAAAATAATAAAATTTAAAAAAAATAGTAGAAATCTACACACACGCACACACGCACACACGCACACACAAATCACAATTTATATTTACTACTTCTCCTTAACTGAATTTTTGGTTCAATCATACCAACTTATGCGAATGATAATAAAACTGTTGAGCTCCAGTATTTACTTATTGAATAAATATAAATTCCATTTCATAAAAACGGTCTTGACATAAATAAAATAAAATATTTAAAATGTAACGTAAAAAGATTAACTAAAGTCGATATTGTAATAAAATTAAAGGATACTAACATCAAAAAAATCATGTGGAACATAATATTATGCACGATCGTGAGCTTGGTGGCCAGCAAGCAGGTCACTTTTGAGAATCACAAAGTTTTCAAAATTGCTGCGGATGTATCAACGCAGACTCAGTTGTTCAATCGTTTAACACTGATTTCTGATGGAGTGAGTATAGATAATTCCAGCATAAAGATTAGAGATAAATAAAAGCAAATTAATATAAACAAAAACCTATATGTTTCTTAAGACATTTGTAACATTTTTATAATCGTATTAACTAAAATTTGGAAAATCAATCTCATAAAAATAACATAACGTACATATATTTCTAAAAATTTGTAAGATCATCTTTATCGACATCAAATTATTTATTATACACAACATTTTGAAGATATAAAAACTGATTAATATGTGTGTGCAAATAACTTTACATATAAGTAACTTCATATTCTGCTAAATAAAATTAAATATCATTTACAGTTTTCTTTCTGGAAGGCATCGTCTGTGAATAAACAAATGCAACTTATGGTAGCCCCATACAAGCTGTCCGAATTCTACGAAATGATGGCGCAGATCCAAGCACCATACGAAGTTTATATTGAGAATGTTCAGACATTAATCAATCGAGGAACGCCAGCGAATGTATCAATGGAATTTGATTTTAAAAATTACCATCCTCTCAAGACAATTTACAAGAATCTAGATGACATGGCAAAGCGATATCCTAATATAGTACAAACTATAGTAGGCGGCAAGACGTATGAGAAACGTGAAATCAAAGGCGTCAAGATTTCTTATAAAGCCAACAACCCTGGAGTCTTTATTGAAGGTGGCATCCACGCCAGGGAATGGATTTCGCCAGCAACTGTCATGTACATCTTCCATCAATTGTTGACAAGCAACAACACGGAGGTCAGAACTCTGGCTGAGAGCCATGATTGGTATATCTTTCCAGTGTTCAATCCCGATGGATACGTGTATACGCACACTACGGTAAGTGCTGTTTTATAATATCATGTAAAGGATTGTCAAGTAGTTTATAAATTAATGCTTAATGAATATTTTATTTTAGAACCGATTCTGGAGGAAGACACGTAAGCCATACGACAACTGTTATGGTGCTGACCCCAACAGAAACTGGAATTACAAATGGAACAGTAAATTTGTATTATTTTAGAAAACTATAATAATCGAAAATTAAATAATATCTAATAAAAAATCGAGGTTTTATTTTCAGACTTTGGAGAGCTTATATAAAACGTGCTTGATGTTATTTAATATGATATGTATTTGTATATAATTTAACATTTTCAGCTGCAGGCGCTAGCAACGACACATGCTCCGAAACTTATGCCGGACCTGCTCCGTTTTCTGAAATTGAGACAAAAAGCATGTCCAAATATATCAATTCTATTTCCAAAAAATTTTACGCGTATATTGCGTTCCATAGCTATTCGCAACTATTGATGTTTCCTTATGGTTACACAACAGATCGTGTTGAAAACTACGATGACATGGTGAGTAATTTTAATCGTATGTAATCATATTTTTATAAATATTTATTAAAAATAAACGAAATTTTTATTTAAAAAAAAAAACAGTTTTAAAGTTTAAAATTACTACTTTCACAGTAGTATAGAAATGTCATATTTTTAGCTCAAATTTATATATATTCTATAATTAAAAAATTAGCAATTACATCATTAGGTACAGTTTCAGCTTTAATGCCCAATTTTTTCACCTGTGGATAATTTTATCCAAGAGATATCTTCCAGAATACAATGAATATATCTCCTGGATTAGTTGTCCGTAATTTAT